TCACACCCTCACCCACACCGTTACCCACATCCACACTCACACCCTCAAGATGATTTCTCGAAATTTTCTCTTTCGATTATCGAGTTTTTTTCGAGATTTTCACTTTCGAAAATATAATTTTTCGAGATCTCGTCTTTTCGATATTTCTTTATTCTTGTTTTCGAGATTTTGATATCATCCCGTTTTTGATATTCAATTGAATTAATTTTAATCTTGTTTAGTTTACGACTTGAATGGAATCAAATCGGTGCGATGGATACTTCAGCTTTTACTAGTTTTTGTGATGCTCTTGGAGTTAATAAAGCTTTGATTGAACTCGATTTACGCAATAATGATATTAGTCATGTTGGTGCTACAGAATTAGCCGCAACATTAAAACGAAATGTAACACTACGTATCTTAGGTACGTCTTATATAAATATATACTTATTATAATTTAATAGTTATTCATAGATCTTCGTTGGAATAATATTGGAGCAATTGGTAGTCGAGCTTTATTAGCTTCCTGTCAATCAAATTCAACACTTAATGAATTGCATTTAGCTGGTAATAATATACCTGATGATGTTATACAAAATATAAGTAAATAATCTATTGTTCTACAATTTAAATAATCATTTTATTTGAATTATAGATAATGCTCTAGCAAAAAATACCGAAAAACGTCAAGTACATTTTGGACATTCAAAAAATATGGCAGTACTTGCAAGACAATTACAAGATGCACATACGGAAAAAGATCGACAGATGACAAGTGTACTTACACGTGTGTCTTTACAAGAGCAAGCAATGCTTAAAGCAAATAAGTAAAAGAAAAAACAGGAAAGTATTCTCTTTCATAGTATTAATCAATTTGTTTTCATAGATCATTAGCTACGAAAATTAAAAAAATGCAAGAAGCATTGGATGATCGTAAATTAGCATTCAATGCTTTATCAGCAAAAAATGCATTACTTGAAGCAGATCTAACTGTAGCAACACAACAACATAATGATGCACAAAATGAAGTTAAAAAATTACAGATTGAAAAAGATCATCTAAAAAAACTAATTCATAAAGAATATAAAAAAGAAAAAGATGTAAGTTATCATTTTTCTAATAAATAGTCATAAAAATACTGAACTTTGTTTATTTAATAGGAATTAGTCCATACTCAAGCAAAACTTGAACGAGATTTACTTGAAAGCTTAGAAACACAACGACGTTTATCTGAAAAGATCCATGATTTTGAACGGAAAACTGAAAATCTGCAGACAACTATTCATGAACTTCGAGAAACTGTAAATCATTATTTTCATTATTTTACATATATGTATGAAATCTTTTGTAGTTAACAAAAACTGATCGTGATCATCATGTAAAACTTTCCGCATTGGATACTGAAAATCAACGTTTAAAATCTAAACATAAAGAAGATTTAAAAGATTGTGAATTAACCAATTCACGAGATAATCAACGTTTGAAAGAATCTTATGAAACTACACAACAGAATTTAAAAGAACAAATAACAAAACTTGAAAATATTCGAACAACACTTGAACGAGTAAAATTTAATTATACATTTCTTTTTTTTAATTCTGTTTTCTTTATAAGGAAATAAATTCTTTAAAATCGAATATTTCAACACAAAAATTAAATCATGATGAAAATTTACAACAAGAAAAAATTCGAATAAAAAATGAAGATGAAAAAATACAACATGAACTTGAAGATCGTTTACGTTCATTGACAACAACAAAAGAAGATCTTGAAGTAAGAAAGAGGGTGATCGAAAAATCATGACTTTTTCCTTGCGCTAGAAATATCATAATACGAAAGTCCTTGTCATCTAGATCACGAATCTGATATCCGTTTGTCTAGATCTGATCGCTTTTTCCCGTAGAGGGGTTCCTGGGTCTCAGTAGGGTAGTTCCATGAGGTCTCAAACACAAACACACAAAGTATTCAGAAAATGTTTTTTTTCCCCCAAACTTTTTAGAGTTTTTTTCGCTGATCATTTTCGTATAAGGAAGTTTTTGAACTCTATTAAGGAATGGCAACGCTATCGTTAAAATAAAAAACATAGTAAAATAGCTTAAACTCCCATAGTTTTCCTCATAAAATACAAGGAAAAGTCGAGTCTCTAATCTCGAACCGACTATATTCTCAAGAAATATGTCATAGTAGGTTTCGTAGAGAAAACTATGCCCTATAAAACTTACTATGTTATATTCCTTGAGAATACAGTCGGTTCGAGATTAGAGGCTCGACTTTTTCTTGTATTTTATAAGGAAAAATATGGGATTTTAAGCTATTTTACTATGTTTGCTATTTTGATGATAGCGTTGTTATTTCTCTATAGAATTCAGAACATCCTTTTACAAAAATGATCAGCGAAGGACGCTCTACAAAGTTTGGAGGAAAAGAAATTTTTTTGAATACTTTATGTTTGACATATCACGGAGCTACCTAGTACTAGACTCAGATACTTACCCATGGAAATCGCTGAAAAAAAGAGGATCAAATCTAGATAAACGGATGTCAGATTCGTGATCTAGGTGACAAGGATTTTCGTATTATGATATTTCTAGCGTGAGGAAAAAATTATGATTTTCGATCACCCGCTTTAATTATCATAATATTTGAATTTCTTTTTATATTTTTCAAGTCTCGTTATAATCAACAATTAATATCAAATCGAGATTTTCAACAAAAAATCAATTTTCAATCTGTCGAAATTGAAACATTAAAACGACAAATTGAATCCGTTCAAACAGTAAATTATTTCTTAATAAAGAGAATATTCATAAATTATTTCCTTTCAGTCAAATCTTAGTAAAGATACAGAATTTCTTGAAAATCGTGAAAAAATCAAAACTGAATATGAGAAAAAATTACGTTTAATTCAAAAAGATATTGATATGAATGAAGAATTAAAAGATCGTAATAGACAATTGGAAAGTGAAATTAAAGGTAAATCAAAAAAAGAGAAGATTTGTTTTTGTTAATTTTATATTATATTTATAGATCAACGTTATAATGATCGAAATACAATACGTGAACTTGAAACACGTCTAGCTGATTTACAAACAAAATTTAATCAACGTGAACATGAAATTAGTCAATTAAAACATAATGAAGAAAAACGCTTACAATTTTTACGTACAGCGATGTTAGATTATATTGGCCGAGATACAAAATCAAAATAGATCATTTCGTTTCTTTTATATGTACAGCTAGTTTGTATTTTTCTTTGAATTTAATTAGAATAAAGACTAGATATTTAATCTATTAAACTCTTTCGACTTGGAGAAGAATTGATATTATTCATTATTGATGAATGACTAATTATTCGATTGATTTCATCTTGCTTGTGAATTGATTTTCGTGTTGAGTACATTATACAAACAAATAGAGCTAATAATATAATACAACAACATC